TTTAACTATATTAATTACACTAGAAATGAAACCCGGACAATATATGACACTATTTTTTTTCCGAGTAGGCAAATCAACAAGATATATTAATTCTATAAAGTTTGAAATATCATGAAGATATATGCCTATTAGAATTAGTTTTATGCTGGTTTTTGTCTTTGACTGCCTCACAATATATTTTATATTCATATATAATTCTTTTATGGTAATTATTCTAAAATTTTCTTTGCTTAAAAGCAATTTTAAATTAATCTAGGCAGTTTTAACAGGATATAAAAATATACTATTTAATAAAAATATTTATGTGGACAGAAAATTTAAGATTATAAAGTAGCTATTTTTGACCAAAACAATATTTAAATAATAAAGACGAAATTGTCTATTCAGATACTGTTTAGTTAGAGTTTTGTGCTACTCAAAATCTAAATTTAGTCCAAATTTAGCCCAAATTTAGCTACTTCACATATTTATCTATGAACAACTATCACTAGTTTTAGTTATTATTAATGTTCTCGCTTTGATCATTCAAAGGCATAAACTCGCACTCAATAATAACTTTAAACACCTATAATCCGGGCTTTAAAACCAACTGCTTTGGTCCGTGCTATTCCACCATAAAACCCTTAAAAGTCAACCTACTCCACGTATTCCAAAAACAAAAACCAAAAAAACAAAAAAAAAGGCAAACTCTTCTCACAATCGGACTTGAAAACTTTTCACTTTTTCCCAACCAACCCCGTGCCCCCTTGCAGAATGCGCGCCCGTTTCCTGACCTTTGACGTAACTTTGAACGTTCGCTTTGCAACCCCAACTGCGAAAAATCCTTGCGTGGGATATCAAAAAAATAAAAGAACAAGAAAATATTGACTGGCTATGCAGTTTTTCCCACCCCGCTTGCACTGTCCCAAACAGGAATAAACAACAACAACAACAACAGCAGCAAGAACAACAACCACCAAAGAGAGCAAAACGAGTTAGCGCGGCATCGAGATCAAAATTTGGAAAAAATCCAATTGGATACGTTCGGCTGTTGCAGGACACAAGAACAGTGCCAGGACTGGGAAAATTGGCCCATTTGGCCTCCACCTTAATGAACACGAAACGTTGCATTTAGTCAATTTTCCAACCACCATCAATGAGGAGCAAAGCGACTGCCGTGACGCACATATACAGAAAGCAAAGCGAAAAAAAATGCAAAATAGTATAGGACAGAACAGCGAGTTACCCTGTAGAAAAATGTTAGTTAACTAAATTGATTTAGATAGTTGGGTGAATAATATAACTAAAGTGGCAAAATATATTGTCCTATATACATACCAAAATTCTAGTATAACTAAATTGGAAAATATATTTATCTTTTATATATTACATTTTATTAATTTTGAGAATGGCATGAAGAATTCCATTTAAACTATATAACTATATTGGATATATTTAAATTTCAATACAAATTGAAATCCCAAGATATGCTAGAAGCATATTACATTTCTATAGATCGTAGGAGTATACTATATTTATATTCATTAAAAAATAATTAGAGCTCTCGAGTTTTCAAAAGCTTAGGATATTTTTCTTGCGAGTTTAATATATTTATCTGAGCAGAATACATATTTATAAATCACGAAATCAATTTATATACTTTGATCAAGCGTTTTGTTGGCTCTTTTAATAGGTTAAGGATTGAGTAAATTTATCTTGAAAATATTTGAGTTTTAGTAAAATACACTCCTATTTTTTTGAGAATTTATAAGTCTCATAAAATAAAATAAATAAAAATAATATTTGATGAAATCTACTCCATTCTTTAAAATATTAATAAATTTGACCATTTATATATATAATAATATATATACAGCTTAATTTAGGTAATATATGGATATATTTGATATGAATTCTACTCTTTACTTTGAAAAAGTACGACCTTCGGTTTATATAATATATGAAACAGGTATGGCCATTCGCAAATTAGTTCATTTGTACAGGGTATTCGAAAACTAAAACGTTAGCGACTCGTTTACCTGCACCGCCAAATGATTGAAGTTCCACTTTTCGATTTGAAATGCGTTTTGCAACTGTCCACATAGATACAGACGCACACACACTAACACTCGCACACGCACACGCACTGCCAAACGTGCTAGCTCGCACACACAGTTATGCCAAAGCGCATTTTCCACATTTGCATTTTGTCCAGGCTCTATCAATGGTTGGGGTTCTTTGGGGTGGCTGTGCGGCGGGGCTCATTCGAACGTGGCTGATGTTTGACAGAGCTTTGTTGCTATTGCTGACTGTTTAGTCAGCACTGGATATGTGCGTGTATCTGTGTGTGTGTGTGTGTCCGTTGGAAACATACAGGGGTAATAGGCCTACATCTCTGCCAGCCCGGGAAAATTGCCCTGGCTATCGAGAAATGTTTTTCGAGTCTGTTATTTGTAACGCTCTTCACGCACTCTTAACCAGTTTCCTGGCCATGTTGCGCTGCTCCGGCCATAAACGTGGTTTCCAATCCATTCAAAGATAAGCTAAACGCACAGTTTTCTATTCAAAGTTACGATGTGCCTTAGTTAATAGAGCCATCATTTGATAGACTCTATATCGTTTTGAAGGGACTTCCGGCACGATGCACAGTGGAGAATTTTAAATGCTCTACAAGAGTTTAACGAATGCTATAATTTGTTAGGCATTTGCATTTTTTTAGTATAATGAATAAAAACTAAAACAAAAATATGATTTAAAAATAAAAATTAGTAAATCTGGTTTATACAAAACAAATAAAAAAGAATGAATAAAACAAAAATAAAATTAAGTAAACAATTTAAATAATAAATAAATAATAATAAAAAAATGTTTCTTTCATGAAATTCTTTCAAATAAGAGTTTCTTGTCTAAATCATTTTTCTTCTGAAGCTATATTTATTCCTGGAAATCTATAATATATCTTAGTAAAACAAATCCTTCTTCCTAGCTATAAAACCGCTATTTTATTATTTTATAACATTAAAATTTTCAACATGTTTAGATAAATCAAAACGAAATTAGACTATTTCATATTATAATATTTCATCTTATCAACCAATCTCAACTCCAGAGTTCAAGGTTTTGCTTTATGGTGTTTGCTTTCCTTTCCCTAGAAGACCCGTTGCCATAAAGGTGAGAGTGGTGAGGCATATGTTGTTGTTGTCCTTCATGTTGCCGTTGTTGTTGTCACTGTTGCTGTTGTTGTTGTTGTTTCTGTTGCTCTTGTTTCTGTTTTGGTTCGATTCAATTTGTGTGTCGTGTGTGCCTGAAGGCAGTCGCCTTACATTTATTTTTCTGCTTCTGATGGACAGCCGATTGCCATTAGAAGGTTTTACTTTTCAATTATCAAATGCATGCTAGACTAGACTAGCACTGCAGGCTGCGCGTGGAGCCAAATTGCAATTGCCTACAGAGGGATTCGGTCGAGGCGGAGTCAAGGGACTGAGTCGAATCGCTATCCATAACAGCTGCCAAATGACGTAACATTGTCGCCTCTGGATCTAAATCGGAATCTGGACCTGGAGCTGGAGCTGGAACTGGACCGGTTAGCGCTGCCGTCTGACCACGCTGCATGTGAGGCTCTGCACCGATGCGCCGCAGTGATTGGTCCGGCTCGTGGATGCCGCTGCTTATGAATTGGGCAAATTGCTGTGGCGCCTGCAGCTGGGCCAGCTGCTCCCAGTCGGGCGATGCCGTACGCAAACGCTGACGCATTTCGCTCAGGGCGCGCTGTGTCTCGTAGCCCGCCTGCGCCTCGAATTCACGTTCGCTGAGCAGGCGCCTGAATGCGGGCGGCAGCAGATGCCGCTGAAACTTGATCAATTTCAATTGGAGCCACTGCAGCAGCCACCACAGCTCCGGCCAGGGCATCAGGCAAGTAAGGCATAACCAGCCAAACACGGAATTATTCGAGGCGTTCATGATGAACAGACAGGCCAGAAGTCGCATAAATCGACGAAACAAAGAACGCACCCAGGCGTGGCGCCACAGACTGTGATGATCCTGGCAAAAATTGACCAGAATAAAGACGCCGCCGACGAGGGCCACAGCCACGCTCGTCGGATACTGCTCGAGCACCAGCTTGAAGTTCGTGCTCACCGGCTGGATGCTGCTCAGCTTGCGATCGCCATGATAGAAGAGGGCGACACAAACCACGACCACGCTGGCCAGGTGAATGCCCATCAAGGCGGCCACGCTGTAGACGCATATCAGGGACTCGCTCAGCGAGGTAGCCACCTCGATCAGCCACATGATGAAGCCGAGCGTAAAGCGTGCCACACGCTCCGTATCGCAGCGATCCTGCAGCAGCGTTAGATTATACGCCTGATCCGTGAAGATGCCGTAGCAATAGTGCGCATGGGCTGGCAGCGAGATATAGTGCAGCCCTTTATTCCGTCCGCTCAGAAATTTACCCTCAAAGCATTCCTTGTGCGCCAGATGCGCATCGTAAACACCCTGTGCCGTGGGCGCCTTGTACTGCGAGTATTTAGCGCTCGGCGCTTGGGTCATCAAGAGCAGTCGATTGCTCTGAAAGATATTCCGCATCTTCAGCGGCTGATCACGACGGCAATAGATGTGTATGCGATTCTGTGAGTAGAACGTCTGCAGCATTGTCAAGGCGTCCTGGACATGCGGCACGCCTGCATGCAAATATGTGACATGCTGATCGTTGAAACGCCCCTCGAACAGGCCGTCACAGCAGTTGCTCAATGTCAGCAGGAGTAGCAAAAGTTTTACAAAAATTGGAATTATTCTGTTCATTTTTTTGTTTTATGTTAAAATTGTTCAAAATTCGTAAAATTCTTTTGTATTGTTGACTGATGATGAGTGCTAGAATAATGAAATCCTGGCAGCTAGCCATGTATATGGTTTGTTTTCTCGGGTGTCAAAATTCAACAAAACTACCTGATCGAATCTGATTGTTTAAACGAACTAACAAATACTTCTATAGTAAATAAGGCCCAAGTTTGTAGTGTTGCTTAAAGTAATTTTTAAGATTTTTTTATAAGATTGGTAGGCACTGTAAACGATGCATTGCAGGTCTAATATTATGTTTATTTTATAATATAAAATTCTTAGTTTAA